TTGTGTACTTGTATCCGTTTTTAACAAGGACAATATTGAAAGATGTTTGCATTACAATATTAAAACATGGAGTCGAGAAACTTTCAGACACAACATGTTTAAAAAAATTGTAATTTTCGAGTGTTTCTTTGAAGCTTGTCCAAAACAAATACAATATATGGATGTCCTACTCCCAACTCACATCCATATCCTTCCTAACGAGAGATTTTTGATTGATTAATACTTATTTCATAGTGACGAATGTCATATTTGTCTCTCAATCTACGCATTAACGTCTGATTGAATGGACACTGGGTTCTTCTAATACCATCATTACCAACTTCTTCTCTCCAAGGTCCACGTTCGTGAATGACTTCTTCAACCCAAAAATGATAACAAGCAAAAGCAGTGTCTGGTGCTCTTGCTGTAACGAGTTCACAAAATTTTTTATCTTTTTCACACATTTCAATAAATAATTGTCCATCTGCTGCTAAATTATCTGTCGGGTTTACGGGTATAGAAAAGCCGTTCATGATGAGTTTAGCTGCTTCTCGAATGAGTTTTACTAATTCTTCTCGTTTTATTCCTTTTGGTCTTTCATTAATCGGATAATAGAGGGCCTTGAGATAGGGCGCACCAGACGCCATGTACTGTTCCATATACGCTGTATACGTTATATTTTGATCTTTTGGTGTCAATGGTATTAAGCCACCGACATTGATGATCACTGATCCATCTGGCACAAATGATTGATACATTGAACCTGTGCCAGGTCCTGTTATTTGAATATCCGTAGTGCGCAATAATCGTAGCTGTCGCGTGAAGTAGGTTTCTATCAATTCATACGTTGGTGATCTTGCATCTATTGGAGTTTCATTGAACCAAGATGATGTCCTTTTTCGACCTTTGATTGAGTCATAATATACATGTGAGACATTTATAAGTGGCCAATCTAATTTGTTGATATCGGTTATGCTTTTATTTTGATGGGCGATAGTATAGTTATTAATTTCATTTATCGCAGCATTGATTTCTTTCCTGTCAATATCGGTGAAGCGTTTATTATCCATGACATAAGCATGGAGTACATCGTGTTGATTTCGACCTTCGGCAGAATGTTTGTATCGTCTAGTTGGTGGAATGACTCCATGTTGAGCATAGAGTCGATCACGAAACAGTCTAGAACCATCCAGTTCGACTCCTCCAGGCAATTGTAGATTAGGTTGTGTACATCGCTGACACATCATGCCGCCACCCATAACAAACTCATCGAAAACAAACCAACTTCCATTTGACATATCATTTAGAACATAGTGCTTAATAATACCAAGACCAGCAAATCGATTTAGTATATCTTCATCCTGACAAGTTTTACATTCGTCTATGGCACAAAGCAAACGAAATGGTTGAAGATGTCTAGGTGGAAAATGAATTAATGCAACATATGCAGGATATAGCCCATCAAAGAGCGAATGACCAATGTTACCAAGCCATGGAAATTTTAAAAACAAAGTAACACCAGGTAATACTATTGGGTCAGCCGAATCACGAATGAAATTTTGAAGTTCCGAATATGAATCAAACTCTCGAATTCTTGGTGTAACTGTTTCTGTTCCAAATGAATAGACACGCACGGCAAATACTGGCAAAATTCGTCCTTTTATAACCGCAACCATAAAAGTACTATTAATATAGTATAAGTTTTTATATAGACATGATTGATTGCTTAAAGAACCAACACATCTGACAGTCGTTTCCAAAGAGCCATTTTCTCCAAGAAAAAGTGAATTCAGCCGAGTAAATCCATAATCAGCGAGAGACGGATTCTTATTCATCATCAATATTGTGCTTGAGTCCGTATGATTTAAATTACAAATGATTTTTCTTAATTGTGATTGGTTTTTGTTATCGTCTTGACAGATTCTCATTTGTAGTAAAGAGGCATTCTTAAGTAGTTTTCGGTTCTGTATAACATATGGAATAATGGCCAAGATACTTGTGATAATAACAATTATTAAAGTGAACTTCAGTGTATAAATCGACCAATTGTTGGAACTTGATTGTAATGTCATAATAACCAAGTTATAGTTAGCTAACTGTCGAGTATGTATCGTAATAATTGTAGATCGAAATTCAATATGATTAAAACCAATTGATATTCGCTACAACTAGAGCTTAAAACTCTCGTGGATATTATCTAAATTACGTAATTTCAATTTGAGAAGTGTAAAATTATCAATTATTATTTTCTGTGCGAAGTAAAAATTTCATATTAGACATAATCGTAGTATGCAATAGGTAGTACAGAAACACAATGATCTAAAAAAAAGTGAGTGTCAATACAGTTATTCTTTATCGATCATCAACAGTTTTCAATCAGCAGATTTTTCAAAGAAATACATGATATTTCGCAAAGTTTTGATTTTAGTCGTTGCTCGAATTCTAACATTAGTGAATGAGCGACTTTAGAATGACAAATATAAATATTTTAACGACAGCGTAAAATTGTTTTTTGTAATAGGCAATGCTAGAAAGAAAGACTATCGAATGACAGTATTTGGTTTTGCAGAAAAGCTGCAAAAGTAAACTCTGTATAGACTAAGTTTATGTTGGTAAATACTGACATTGTGCAAGTACAATTTTACTACTATTTAATTTTGACTATATGACGTAACCATACAAATCTTTTTCCCTTCTTCGTCTAGTGTACATATACGCTGTTTAAAACTAGCGAACTAATGTATTTTACTATACCCTGACGTCATTGTACATTTGTTCTGGTGCTTTCCATCTATATCGATATAGGTGGAAAACAAACTCCTCCCCCTATGGTGGTATCGAACACGCGCCCATGTGTTGTCATGCTTAATGAAATAACATTAGTGAATGAGACACTTTAGAATAAAAAATATAAATATTTTAACAGTAGCGCAAAAAAAAAGTTTTTTTTTGTAATAGGCAATGTCAGAAAGAAAAACTACACTGTAAAATAGAAAATAACTTATAGAGAAAGAGAAAGGATATTCAAGGAATGCCTATATAAATTCTGGAAGGAATTTTTTATTTCTTGAAAATACGATATTTAAGAAAATTGAAATAACATACTCGATTTTCCAGCAGTGGACAACAAATCGATCAGTGAGATAAATGCAAATTTCCAGAGAAAAAATGTCTTCCACGTCAAAAATGATTTTTTTTTCATTCTGTTCATATAGAACACCCGTCATATACATATACGCGAATGCGTCCACATTTCATTCGTATCTGATTCTTCTATGATTACCATTCACAAATGGAATGCTTGCGAAAACACCCCCCTCCCCCGCATAGATACTAAAATTTACGTCCTATTATAGATCATCTAATTTTCATCATTACGCTCACAAGCTACTAGATACTATAACCATCCCATATTCACTTCGACTAATCGACCAGAAAAACCATATATCTCTAAAGAAACAGCAATAATGCGTTTCTTCGAAAAACTTTCCTTACAGAACTGAGCATAATTTCTCTTAATCTTCATTCTGCCGCTACAACAATATTATTTACTATAAGAGCGCTATATTTCCTTCGTACAAGTCCAACTGAAGCCAATCTTCTTGAATAACACTACATTAATGAACCTATCTAGATCATTTTTCTATTCAGCTGGGAAGTTTTCCCAAAGGTTCTTGCTTTCAGGTCGGGTATCCTCTCTTCGACTTCATTTTCTCTGTCTGACACTGCTAACCATTATTCCTATGACCTTATATTTTTCGCTCAACAGACATCTAACTACGTCTTGAAGTATTTAACAATTTTTCTAATACACTAAATCATTTCTTCATTTTCTCGCTTTCAGTTTTCCTCTAGCGGTACTCACTATGCCTCCAAATTTTCATTTTTCCGCTCAGACAGTATTTATATAGTCATTGAACTATCATACAATTTTTCCCACACAAGATATCATTTTTTCATTTCATTTTTCCTACGCACTTTTACTTTTCCGCTGCAATAGAATCTATAAAGCTATTCACGTATCTAACAATTTTCTCATAGCAGAAGTAATTTTTTTTTTATTTTTCCGTTCTACTTTTTCTATAGCAGCCTCCATTATTCCTATGCATTTTCATTCTGTCGCTGCAATAGAATCTACAGTCGGGGACAAAAGTTTAAGCGAAATTAGTTTTTTACTATTTTTTTCTCATTCCTTTTTTACTATTTTTTTTCCATATTACCAAGTATAAGTTTGAATTAAATGGTGATATAGAGAGTATGAGAGGCCAGCTACATGATGTATTACAGAACGAGATTCTATCCGCATATATAGATTTTTTTATAATTGAACTAATTTTTTTCTATGCAAAAACAGGTTTAAGTGTCTTTCAGTATTTCGCATTTATTTCAGAAGAAACTTATATTAAAAGAAAAGAAAATTATATCAATCGATAGAGCATTTCATGCTCTATCTGCCTATAAAAAAAAGATTTTTTCTTAGAGTCGATGTTCACGTCTAAAACTTGGTTTTAGTGATAACAACCAAACGACAGGACAAAAGTGAAATTCTTCAAAGGTCATTATCGCTCATATTACATGATAGTAGAACCTATAGAAGTGAGAAAGTTCTCATCTTTAGAGAAATTCGATATTCTATAAGTCTAACATAAAAAGTCAAAAACGAATATCGAATAACAGAAGGGGATCATTTTTCAGTCGCACATCCAAATTTGAAATTTAGGGAGTTTTTTGTTTTCTTAATCTTTTTCTGTTTATTTCATCGATTTCATGAAAAATCTCACAAGAAATATTTCACAAATTTAATCGAAAGTCTAAGAAAAATATTTCACAAATTTTATTAAAAAATCTCACAAAAAATGACCACCTTTAGCTTTAAGACATTTTTCAATACGTATAGGCATACTCTCTACTAATGCTTGACATAATGTAATTGATATTTTGTCCCATTCTTCTTTCAAACGTTTTTCTAATTCAGCCTTGGAGTTAATTGGAGTTAATGCTAACCGTTTGTCAATGATGCCCTACAATTCTTCAACAACATTCATATCTGAGCTATTAGGAGGCCATTCGAGCATATTAATTTTCAGTTTTTTAATTTGGTCTTTAACCATATTGCTCGTATGCCAAGGGGCTAAATCACATTGATATATGTATTTCTTTTCTTTGGGTAATCGTTTAATTGATGGAATTAAGTAATTCTTTAAAACTTCACAATATTTTGTTGAATCCATATTATCAGAATAAACGAATGCTGATGTTTTGCCATATTCACACATAGCTCCCCATATACCTACTTTTCCTCCATCTCCTGTGGTCAATTGCTGAACACAATCCGGAGCAAGTTTTTCAGATTTAGCACGCGAAACCATCATCTTATTTTTACGTTTGAAAACGTAATATGTTGATTCGTCACTGAATATGACACGACGCCAATCTTCAATGGTATAAGATTGAAATTTTTTACACCAAGCAATCCTCTTTGCCTTATGAATCTTTTTCAAATATGGCTTACTAATTTTTTTTTTTGTATAGATATATCCTATTTTGTGAAGATAGCGTCGAACAGTTCTAGAAGAAAAACATTGAGTCAATGAATCATTTAATTTTTGTGTAATAACATTGGCATTTGCTCGATTTGTTCCAGTTGTTAAACGTTTGAGATGGCGAGCAGTTCTTGGTGTAAGTCTTGATGGACGACCCTTTTCGTGAAAGGCCTTTGAACGTGCCATGTTTACGATAACGTTTAACAGCATTTTTGACGTAAGTCCAGGAAATATTAAGTTGTTGAGCAGCATCAGAAATTGTGAATCCAGCATCAAACAGAGCAACTGCTTGAGCACGTCTGTACTCACTAACTGATTTTTTACCCATTATGCTTCCTTATGTAGTGATGCATGTTATCTTATCTTTGAAATCAACTTTATTTCATTAACATCATCTCCTTTTATGCATCAATCATGAGAGAGAAAACATACACCACGGACGGAAGCAATGGACTAACAACATGGAAATGTATCGAACGTGACATAACGTCATTATGCAGAGATGGATGAAAAAGAGAGAAATGATCATTAAATGTATAGAATTATTGACACATTTTACGTGGGCGAATTTAGTCAAAAACAAAGATTATTCTTCTCAACAACTCAAGGACATGTATCTTCTTCAGATATGAGCGAAATGGTTTGTAGATGAAGAGTATGGTAAAACATCGATATCACATATATAGGCTTTTTGACTTGAATGCTTGCAGACTTGAGGATAGATGCAAAAAAGTGGTTTCGTGTTCATGAGAAAATTATATTCTGTCCAGATAGCTATTGAAGAAAACTATAGACATTGTTTTCCCATTGAAAAAATTAAAAAGTAATACCTTGCAATATGATAGATTTTGAAAAATTTCACTTTTGTCCTGTCGTTTGGTTGTTGTCACTAAAACCAAGTTTTAGATGTGAACATCGACTCTAAGAAAAAGTCGTTTTTCATAGGCAGATAGAGCGTGAAATGCTCTATCGATTGATATAATTTTCTTTTATTTTAATATAAGTTTCTTCGGAAATAAATGCGAAATACTGAAAGACACTTAAACCTGTTTATCTATATATGCAGATAGAGTCTCGTTCTGTAATAATACATCATGTAGCTGGCCTCTCATATTCTCTATATCACCATTTAATTCAAACTTATACTTGGTAATATGGAAAAAATTAGTAAAAAGTTAATTTCGCTTAAACTTTTGTCCCCGACTGTATTTATGATCTTGTTTTATTCTGCTTTTCGTTGTTATATTTAGTTGTTTGTTTTTCTTCGTTAACTACACATCTTTCTTCTCATTATTGTTATCATTTTTATTAATATATTTTTGGTTGTTGATTATTGTGATGTTTTATTCTTCTCAAAATAAAACTCATTAAACACAATATCATATTTAATTTATGTATATGTTACGACAACAAAATAAGGTAGTCAATCTATGGTTAGCTCTCTAATTCCTAAGCAAACTAAATAATTAGGTCTACTACTATACATCCCCAAACGAGAGTCTAACAGTTTTTTTTAAATTTAAATTACTAAAATATAGAAAACAATTTTAAGTTTCAAAATTTCGTTCTTCAAATTTGAAAAGCATACTTATATCGATTTTGAGAAAACCATATTGACGATTGATGTAAAGATCAGGATTAAACTTCTAATATATATCTATATATATTTCTAACCGTATACATTTCCAGAAAACTTTATCGTTTATTCAGTCAGTCTTTTTCATAATGCACTCTTTCATGATAGAACATGGATTGTGAGTGTAGATGGTTCAAGACTTGACAAAAAAAGCCACATCTACACTCTCGTTATCAATTATTTAAGAGTCAACAATAAAATCGAATCATCGGGAGAATTCAAGTCAATAGAATCTGAGAAGTTAATTCAAATGATATCAAATATGATGAGATTTAGCTAATCGTCAAGATATTATCGATTCAATTTATGAATAAAAAAAAACGTTTTCATTAATAAAAGAAGAATTAAACATAAGTAGATTATTTTCAATTTATCAAACAAATTTCTGTTCTGTTCACTAGAAGATGAGTTTATTTTTTACGAGAATCTTCTTTGTTGTCTCTCGAAAACATTTTTCTACATTGTAACTCTATTTAATATATTTTTGAAAATAAATTCAACATAATTTTAGATGGAGAATTTTAGAGATGACTTGATTTTTTCTTCCCAACAGATGAAAGTTATAACAGATTGGTTACACTCGTCATGTAATGATTTATGAAAATTGTCATTATCAATATAGATGAAAACTTTTCATTCCATCTAAATATGCAAAAAAGAAAAGAAAAATCCGCAAGTTTTGGCATTCAATGCTAAATACGAAGAAACAAAGAAGATTATATAAACAATAGATAAATATTTTCATTTTTTTGTTTTAGTCAAATTCGATGTTTACATAGTTTAATTAAGTATAAATTTGATATAAATGATTATATTTCTATGCGATGTTTTTCTTAATGAAATATAAAATAAACTTGATTCATCGCATTGAATAACTCAAATAGAAAAGCAAACCGTTTAATGACAGTAGATATATATAGTAATTAGAACATTAAATCCATAGAAAAATGGTTGGGATCCAACATATAAGTCATTCATATCAGCTTAATGAACCATTAATTTTGTTCCAAATTAATGGACTCTAAATGGTACAATGAGCCTTATTCACATATCACTTTTTGGCCACGAACATAGAGAAAAAATGGCCACACGTTTATGCAATTGTTGCTATGGGCGGTTCTTTTCCTTTCATGTTCTTTCTCTCTATTTCCTTCTCTATCGTCTCGCTCGTATATGTTGGATTTTGTACTAATGATGCTGGTAGTGGAACTTCAGTAACAACTCGTGCGGGAAGTGGTATACGACCGGCTATGGCTTCTTGAGGTAGAATAATAGAAGCAGCAGCTGTATTCTGTTGATCATATTTAATGAGTAGTTGTCGTAAAGTTGCTGTTGCTTCAGGTACATGAGTATCAGATTGAAGAAATTTTAAATACTTTGGTTTATCTTCTTCGGTTTTATCATGGTGTAGACTCGTAAACTTTATATCCAAGACATTCATTGGGTTTGATGATTTACGGCTTGGTTGGTGCCATTGTTGCAGCCTCTCTGTACAAGCTTCATACATTCTTTTCTCGTCGTAATCTAGTAGAGCGAAGCATAATGCAGCAATATGTTTACATGCTGCTCGACCACCTTTTCCAGCGACACATTGACATGTTGATTCTATTATATCAGCTGGTCGATTGATGTTGATAATCATGTGCATCTAGAAGAAATAGTTTATGCACATGAAGTTTCTTTGACTACACTGACCTCATATATAACTGATTTTTTCATTTGAGCACGACATTTGGCCGATATTTTTCTCTTTATATAATCTCGAGTAATAGAAATGTTGAAAACAAAATGATCTTTGAATAACAGATTGCCATTGTTCAATGCACCTCGATCAAGATTACCATCACTAGCTAATACTTGAGAAAAGTAATCTGTGATTGATCCTAAATCTATATTGAATGGTTTCTTGTAGTCGACAATAGAAACAACGTTAGAAGATGACATGTTCATCTAATCAAGACGATATAGAAATAAATAAAACACACGATGAATTTTACCTCTTCATTGAGACCAATTAATTTTTCTAACACGATTAGAACAAGAAGCCGACGTGATAAATCGCTAATTGGTTTACAACTATCACTTGCATAGTTTGTTTTAATGAATAGACAGTGTCATTGATTTTTATCATAGTATGAATAAATGAGATTAAGGTATTGTTCCTGAACGGGCTATTTCTAGTTGAGTCCTCATTTCTATTCATAAAATGGTCAAAAGATGTGTTGTTTGTCTCAAACAAGAGACTCGAGCTACGAATTCTTCTTTTCATCGATTTCCAGCTAATAAAAACCTTCAGCAAGTTTGGCTCAGAATACTCAATCGACCTGATCTGACTGATCTATCAAATTACAGAGTATGCGATAGTCATTTTGATTCATCTTCATTTAAAACAAATGAAAATAATACAAAAAATAATGGTACTGCAAAAAGTCGTAAACGGTTGAAACATGGCGCTGTACCTATTAGTTCAATCACTACTATTCAATCTACTCATTCAACACGTTCTATTTCTACTCAAACAGATATAAATCTGGATGATCTATCAAATTTATTTGAAAAACTATCATTGTACGAACAAAAGCTGTTTAGCACAACGATTTGTATTGAAAGATTTCGTGATGATGATACTAATATTAAATACTATACTGGCTTTAGATCATACAAAATTTTTTCTTTAGTTTTTGAATTATTACAGGTGAGCTACTGATAACTATTTAATCTTGTTTTTCTTCTATAAAGAAAGTCAGTTCAGGATTTAAATCATTTTCTGTACTATATTGATGAAATGAATTTTCTAAATGAAATACAAGAATACGAGCGAGACGATAGAGAAGGAAATAGAGAGAAAGAACATGAAAGAAAAAGAACCGCCCATAGCAACAATTGCATAAACGTGTGGCCATTTTTTCTCTATGTTCGTGGCCAAAAAGTGATATGTGAATAAGGCTCATTATTAAGAACTTGTATATATTATAACGATAAAATAAGCAAAATACGTTTATAGGAATTTCGGAAAAACCGTGGCTAAATTGAAGAGTACTGAACTTTGTGAGAACCTTTTGGTCCTCATTTTAAGGCCGAAGCAGAACATCGTATATATATTCTGATAGCTCGTGTTTAGCTCTATCGAATCATATAGGTCAGCTTCCCCATGTAAAACTTTGAATTGGAGCTCAATTATGTCAAAGCTATACAAACTTTGCCTCTCAATAAAAAACCTCTTCTGAATTTTGGAGAATATTCGCCTACTAGGTTTTGTAGAGCGTCATTTGCTCTATCTTCTGGTATATATAGCTTGGAAGCCGGTTTCCATTTTCGCTCGTTAGAGAACGAAAATTTTCACTTATTAGCGTTTTGTGACCGATTTTAGTCGATATTCCGGGATTTTTTAAAGAAAGACTCAATGAATTAATCTGAAAATCTAAATCTAGATAAATATCAACAAGTAGAATAAAAATCATGCGAAATTTTATAAGTCACCATGTTGTTTTTCATATCACACACTGAGTTAAAATGTGTCGCATGTATTGTGTTTTGAGACACATTATATGACACATTAAAGTGCGACACGAGGAGCTCACTGCGACACATTTTCTACAGCATGACCACGACACATTTCGTGCGACACATTTTCTATTGGTTCTTTTGGAAAATCCTATTTCGATGTTTTTTTCAATTTAATTTCTTTTAATTATTCCTATTCTGAAAACTCAAGCTAGCCATATTCTAGAATCTGGCCAATCTGAAGTTGGTCCGATTTGCATCGGATCGCTTCAGAGTAGTCCTCTCTCGATCATGGATCGAGACTGGCATTTTCTCGACAAAAAAATCATCGAGAAATAATCTAGAAAATAAGAATATTTTGAAAAGTTTTCTTTTCGTAGGTTCAACCACGTTGTTTATATATCACTACGTGTGCATAATAAAACGGTGAACGAATAGTGAGCAGAAAGAACGCGACAAATTCATGTGCGACACATTCTAAACACGACACTTTTTTCTGCTAGAGCGCGCGACACAATAATTCACCACACATAAACACGACACATTTTAATTTAGGGTGCATTTGATGTCGATAAAATGTTCAAAAAAAGTGTTTCAATTCTTCACTGTTTAAATTTATCTTTGTTAATGAGAATCTCTGGAATATTTGATTACAATAACACGACCATCTAAATGGACTACTTACCCGTTTTGATTTAGCATTTTCTCATCTGAATTTAAAGAGTGTAATGTTAAATCTTTCTAGCAGTGATATATCAAAATACATTCAATGTTACTTGCCCTATATTAGTTCTGTGCGAATAGTTCTGATGCTAATATGAGATAAATATATTTACTTTTCCTGATCTATTCTTATTCCATATTGAGAAAACAAATGCATTCGGGGAAACAATTCTTAAATATACTTTGCTGGACAGAGGGGTGTAGGTGTGGGTGTGGGTGTGGATGTGGGTGTGGATGTGGGTGTGTGTGGGTGTGGGTGTGGATGTGAGTGTGGGTGTGCGTGGGTGTGGGTGTGGTTCTTTCTTATGCATTCATCACATCCACACTCACACCCACACTCATACCCACACTCACACCCACCACACCCCACACCCACACCCACACCCACACCCACACCCTCATATTAAATTTATCTTATCTGATGAAATAATTCTAGAAATATTGCTGAATTAACTCATGAATGTGCTAATTGTTTATTAGATCAATCAATTTTTTTTTTTGTCAAGGATCTTATAGTAATAAATGTGAACATTTTCAAAGAACAATATGTGATGCATGTATTTATAATAATATAAAAAGTCTTATTGAAAATACGAAAATCCTAATATAATTTTTCCCGAACCTAATTGTATAATTATATTTACTTTTGAAAGTATTCATTATATTCTACATATGGAAAATAATTTAGAATTGTTTGTATGATATGATCGACAATTAACATAAAAACATCTTGAAGAAATTTAAGAATTTGTTTGATGTGTAGATAATGGATGTGATTCAGAAAAATTACATTATATAAATATATATTCAAATCCAATAGTTATACTTGTATTAAATGTCAAAAACAAACATTTGATTATCATCATGTTAAATGGAATATTGGAATGACATGTCAAGAATATGATCAAATGAATAAATTATCTATTGATCATAATACAAAAATATAAATTAGAAAAAATGTCCCTTATATGCCATTCATTTATTGAAAAAGGTTCTGGATGTGATCATATGATATGTACAATATGTAAACATCAATTTTGTTGGATATGTTTTGCTGATTATAGAAAAATTCAAATTTATCCTCGGAAACAACATATGAAATATTTTGTACATTATTCGGTTTATTCTCGTTCGAACAATCCTTTTCATGGACAACAATCAATTATTTATACTATTTTATAGATATTAAACATATCTTCATATTCGATATATATATATATACAGGGTGTTCCAAAAGTCCGTACGGAAAGTTAATTTAAATATCTCTTATACAACTCAAGAGATTTAATCGATTTTTTTATAATATGCTAGTATGTCCTTTAAAGTTTTATTTCACATAATTCAGTTTATAACAAATGTTCAAAATGGTTATGCCCAACGG